GGCACAGAGGCCTTTTGGATTATATTATTTTTCCTCTCTTCTTCTAGCTTTATTTAGTTGTTTTCTGACGTAATGATGTCACATTTGTTCAAATTTGACACGAAATGTGAAGGTTTGAGATGTATAAGGCTAGAGCTAGCGCTGAATGGTCTGCTTGATTGAATCAGTAGAGGGGACTAAGTAGGTGGGACTCCCAGTTGAGTCGCTATATGTTATAGGGCTCCTGCTGAGGCACTTCCCAGAAATAGCCATAAACTAGCAGCAGTTTTGCTGATTGCAGATCTGGCACTGAGCGGGGTGTTTGCAATTGCATCAAAAAGGGGGTAGTTTTCAATTGTTGGCCCTTCTTTGAAGGAAGCAGAGGTTTAAAATGTGTTTGATATTTTTGAAATCTGTGAAGCACCATAAAAATTATCCTAGCTTGCTGAAGGATTTAGGCATGTAGGAAACTTTAAAGACCTGGAAGTGTTTCTGTGTAACGTAAAGAGCTGCAAAACTGTACACCTTATAGATGGTTTTGGTCTCAGAGAACAGAAGAAGTTGCACATAAAGCTATTGAATTCCTTGTTCCCTAAAACCCAGTGTACCACATGTGCATGATGACCTTTAACAGTACTACAGCAACAGAGTAGGCAAAAATGGTAGGTTATCTTCAAAGCTTGTCTGAATGTGAGTCATTACAGTTTATGCATGTTTTACTGGAGTGGTGGAGTAACAGTAGCTACATCCAGCAAGCAAGATGAGTTAACAAAATATAATCTCTAGAAGAATGAGACAATAAAGATTTCACTCATATTTTAGGGAAAATATTGAATCTTTATCAAACTGATATAACTAAAGCTTAATTAATTGCAATTCAGGATGGAATACTTCAGTCCAGGTTAAACAAGTCCTAGATTTGCAGTTTGTTATACTTATTGAGGTGAAGCGTATGCCTGTTGTGAACTTACATTTTGGGCCTTTTATTTCTGTTAAAGGTTTTATTTCTTGGGGTTCTCAAGTTTGCTTTGTTTTTCTCTGTGTTGTCTAGATTTAGATCATTTTTGTATTCTTAGTTTTGCTCTTCCTGGTTATGTCTTTTCATTAACATTTTTGGTATTATTTATTCGTTGGTCTAATGTTAGCTATAGTTATTTTCTTATCTTTAGCTTAGGTTTTCCATGGCTTCGGTAATCTAAAGTCCCTTCTCTTATTCTGTAGTTTATTCCTTATTTTGTAGTCATTAGTTTTATTCCCCTTTAGACTTATTTAAGTTCTTTCATGTTATTTTTAGATCGTGTTGTTTTTCCCTGGTTATTCTCTGTTGCCCTCTTGTGTCCTTTCCTTTCCCTTAGCTCCTTCTAGGTACTTCTGTCTACACCTGCTCCCTATCAGCTAATTATTCCTCCCATTGTTTCTGTGTCCATATAGAAGTCTCCTGTTCAGTTACTCATTGCTGGATCCTTGTCAGTCTTTAGGTTTTTTCCTCCCTAGTGTCTCCTAGTTTTTTTGATTTGTGAGTTTCTTGTTAAATGGTTCTACACCATGGATTCTGTATTTTTACTTCTTCGTTACATTTTGCAAGAAATCATCTCTGCCTCTTCTACTCTGCATTTGGGTCCACAACAACATCCACCAACCCTGACATGGCCTAATGCTAACAAAGCTGTTCACAGATGGATTAAAGGCTTTCATTAATCTCTGATTACTAATTAACCATTCAGTTTTATTCTGAACTTTAGTACTTCAAAGTAGCAGCAAAATAACGTTCTAAAACTGATGCCAACCTAAGTGATTAGCAGTTTTTCTTTTTTTATTATTAGTTATGAAATTACTGCAACACGAGCAATTTAAAAGAGGTGAGAGTCTCTGACAGCTTCTGACATTAAGTGTTGTCAACCAACCTGGTGGGAACTCTGTATGATTCCCCTCTGTCTTTACAACGCGGCCTTTGAACAAAAACGCCCTTTCTTACTTCAAAATAAAAGTCTCTAACGTGATATAGGCTGTCATACTAAATGGATATAAGCTGTTCTATTCTGGGTGATTAATAATATGCTGTCAGCAAATATGTAGGACTCCACGAGGCAGACCTATTATTGTGAGATCTTGTACCATGGGATCTCATTATGTCCTTATGTGGGTATCAAATCACTTTTTTATATATATATTTTCATGAAAAAAAAAATCAATTTCCTTTAACATAACATGGTGCTTAGAAAGCTCTTTTCAAATAATGACTCATCCTTTCAGTAACCAGTGGTAACCAGTTGCACCATTAACATTATAAACAGTATATCCCTGAAAGGTATCCTCAAAGCAGTTCATTTGTTTACTCCTGTGATGATTGGAGCTCTGCCATAACACAGAGGTCACCAATTCCCCTGTGGAAACTGTTTGATCCTCCTTCTATGCAGTGGGGAAGAAGAAAAAAAGCACTGGATCTCACACAATGGAAGCCTTTTTAGTATGACACAGCTGTCACAGGTGTGTGCATGTAAGGGAGTCCTCAGTTAATGGGCATTCTCCCCCTATCTGTTTTTTAAGCTGCTTTCAAAATTAGGTGGAGCAATTTCTGAGCCCATTTATTTTTTAATGAGGGGTCATTTATTTGTGCAGTTAATTGCTGGGCTCCAAACTTCTTGTAATAACTGATAATAATTCATGCGTGAGAAACAGTCACTGTGCAACACGGGAGGAAATGAAGGCGGAGGGAAACAAGAAAGGCGGCTGTTCCTCAGTTTCTGTGATGACGTGACTGGCGTGTGTTTAATGTCCTGGAGCTATGAAGATGGTCAGGACTCAGATGAATATGTGCATATGGTATATGCTGTTAAAATAATATATACAGTGAACTAGATTGACATTCCTTATCAAATAATTATTAAATCCACTTAAGGTATGATTTTGTAAATGTTTGTATAGGATTTGTCAAATGTTTGTAGATATACCTAATGTTAAAAGGTTCTCTTTACCTGTATAAGCATCAAAAATGAAGATTAAATTAAACAAAGATAAAAAAAAATTGATAAGATCAAAGGAGAGAGCTCAGTTTGTTTAAGTCTAGTGTTAATATTAGGTTGTCTAGGAATTAGTTAAGAAAAGCTTTTTTTTATATGACATCATTATAGTTCAGTTTAATTCAATTCTGAAGTATTTTAAAGGTCAAACTACCTCCTGAAATCTGATTGTGTATTTTTTTTTTTGTCTATTTGTTTTTTTGTCTCTTTGGCTTTAGCTCCTCACAAATATAGGCATAAAACAGCGGGATGAATTACGCTCAAGCAAGTTCAACAGAATCTGCAAATAATAGACAGTAGAAGCTATTTGTCAAACACCTAGTGAGTAAGTAGAATACTAACAGGACAACAAAGTGTGACATTCTGCATAAGGCTGTGTGATGGATGCACTGATGCTACTAGAGTCCTGAATGTGAATCGAAGAATTAGGAGACAAATAGAGTTTGGGGATGACAAAGATTGTTTACTATAAAAACTTGCTGCTCCATTTAGAAAAAAATTCATCGCAGTTGTTGTTTTGCCTTGCATTCTGAATCAAGCCTCACACAGAATTGTGCCAAGAATGCATCCATCATTCTTAACATTAGTATTGTGCCATAACTGAAATGGCAGCCTTTGCCAAGGCCAGTAGCCTATTTAGAAATTTAAAGAATGTCTTAATCGATCTTTTGGCTTTTGTGCCGCTTTTGTGCCGCCACACATGTTCACATGTTGAAGTTATAAAAGTTGCAGTTTTATTTTTTGTTTTTTTTGCTTACAGAATAACAGGCAAGAGGTAGTTTAGGAAAAAAACAAAACAATATTATTTTTGCATTAATGCCAAAAAGTTCAATCGTGGTCTGATCTGATATAGTATCTTTGCAGATTTGGGATATGGATTTGGATATCTGAGAATATGACTTCTTTCAGTGGTGGCTTTCTTTCATAAAGAAAAACAATGGAAGTGCATGACTAATAGTTGTCCTTTCAACAGATTTTCTCACATCTGCTGTGGCTCTCTGCAGCTTCTCTGGAGTTGCCATCGGCCTTTTAACTTGTTCTCTCATTGATGCTCTCTCTCTACTTGGCCACTCAGTTTAACTTAGTGCCATTGGTGTCAACATTAGGCCTCAAGGATTTAAGATGTCACACAGCGTCAACACAGCTTAGTCAAAACTTCTTCTATTACATGTAGAAGGTAATTCATCATTTAGAATAAGCTCTGCTGGAACACAACCAACCCTTATTGACTGGAGTTCCCATCCCATCAAATACTCCTTTAGTTGTTTTTAAATTTTCTCTAAATATCTCCACAAATCTCTCTCTGATCTTATTTCTACAGTATGCTTGGAATTCAGGATGACAAATGTTTTCCAATTCCATGATCTGCGGGGCCTTCATATAACAGCTGGATTTGTTCTGAAATGAGAATACATGTGTGGAATTCATGCATTGCTGGGGAAATCAGTTGCTCTGAATTTCCTTGAATGGTACCAGAATGAATGGGGTTGAATGCAAATGAACAGCAGTTTTCAGGTTTTCAATTTTTAAAAGCTGAAAAAAATCATTGCAAAAATAATTGCATCTTAGCTAAAGATTCTGTTAGAAAATTAGTTCATTTTATTAATGTTTTTTCCAAAAAGCTGTTTCTTTTTTTGTTTTTCTTTTGTTTTTATGCACAGGCAAAAATATTAAATGCCTATAGATCACACGAGGATTGGATTGGTACCATCCTTTCATTACCAAACATTTTCACACATTTCTCTCTACTCTGCTTGTAAAAGGGTACAAGTGCTTGATTGCATTAAGAGAAACAAAAGCACAAAATTGTTTTACTCCACCTTTTCTGCTTCCTTTAACCTAGAAGAAAATGAAATTGCCTTAGAATCATGCAAAAGCTAAGAAGTATTTAGGTTGGTGATGCAAACTAAATGCAGCAGTATATTCTAAATACAGAGAGAGAGAGAGTTAGGTCATTACACTTCTCAGCTGTTTGCTTAAAATGTTCTTTTCTTTTCTTTTCAGGATCCTCGTTTCTGAAGCAATATGGCAGCTTTACAGACGAACCCTAAATCACCAGACCTGAGCTTGTGGGTCTTCATCGTTTTTCTCAGCCTTTTTCCTCAAGCCAGGTATAAAATATTCTTTAGAGCTCTTTTGTTGTTGTTGTTTATTCTTTTTATTTATTTATTTTGCTGTTGTCTTTTTTACATCAACACAGGCTTCTTTTCTGACTCAGACTCTGTTTCAGTGTTTTGTAAATTTATTATCAACCCAGCCTTTTAACTGATGGTCTATCAAACATCATTAAGAGAAAATGTTCTCAGCTTTCACTGTCATTTAGCCAAATTAAGTAGCCTGTTCATCAGTATATATAAGGGCTTTTCAGTAGAGGGGGAAAAAAAAAAAAACTTTTACCAATGGAAGATTGACAAGAGCATTCTTATTTTCCATCAATGCCTTTTTATTTCTGTGTACACACAATTTTTTAAGGCAGCGTGCCCTTCAGACTTTAGGAGTAAAGTGCAACTCACTCCATTTTTTTCCTAGAAGTCATATCTAAAGTTTCAGTTTGTTCCCCCATAACTGTAAAACCTGTGCGCTCCTCTGCACCAGTCCAGACTCTACTGACTTTTGAATTAATTCACATTGTGCAGCACACACTCCACAGGTATGATTGCCCGTGCACAGCATTTTCACTCCTGCATCTTGTGCACATTTCTCAGTCTGCATGTTGGAGTCAGCAAAAGAAAAACAAAGAACGTGCTGCATGTCATTTTGTGATTTCAAATGAAGAGATTGAGCGGGTTTGCTGTGTTAGCTCTGCTGATAAGGTAAACTGGTGTGGAAGACATAGGGGTGTTCAAATCGCTTTAAAATTTGCACGAGAGCTTTGACAAAATTTGTAACAATGGATGCTGGGATAGGAAATCAGTGAGAAGGATTAGCCCACTTTACTATGTTATTTGGCTTGGCTTGCTTACTTAGAGCACAGTGTTATTGTGCATAATAAATATACATATAAAGCAAACCTGCAGCAAAGAGAATGTTTACCATGTTTATTTCAATGTTTCACATATGCAAAGTTAAAATATTTACAAAATGTGACAGACCAAACACAAACAGGTTGAAAGTAGAAATTTCAAGGATACTTAGTCAAGATGAAAAGCTTTAGATATTATATAGTCTATAAGAAACACATTTCCCTCCATTTCTCTGTCTAGTGCTATTCCTTCTGAACAAAATGCAATTTTACAACAAATTACGCACAAGATTAGAAACAAAAGCGAGAAAAGATCAGGAGAAGAAAGCAGACAGACACTTAAGGATGTCTGCCACCTTTCTCATGAGGTTAAGGTAAAACAAAAAAAGAGACATTAACACTGATTTCTATACTTAATTAAACTCTATAACTGTTGATGTACTTTTGCCTTTATTTCAACCCAGACTGTCTCCCCATAAAAAGGTAATTGCTTGGTTTTCTCACACATTTCAAAACTACAGTTTTGAAATTGAATCCTACATTTTCACCGCATTATTTGCATTATTTAATCCCATTTTTCTGTGAAATAGTTGATTTTGATTTAAAAACACTATTGATAGAGACATATAACCTCATTATAACTGTAATGACTTCTAACTTTTATTGTTTTATCAGCTGTTAGAATGAGTGTTGCTTCTTAGTTTAAACTAAAAGTCACTATGTCGTTTTAAACTTTAAAACTGCTGTGTCGTCATCATGATATAGTGAGGTTGTTAGTACTTTGCACCATCCATTTATCTATTTCGCTTTGCCGTTGGGCAGGTGCCTGTTTACGTCGGCAGTGATTGGGTTAATAGAGTGAAGTGTGGAATATAAATTGTATTTGTTCAGTCAGGCAACTTGCATGTGAAAAACAAAATCACTATTCAACATAAACATTACTTTCAGCATAGTAAAGGCAATAGTCTCATTAAATAACTGTTAGAATGATAAATAAGAAACATACTGAGCAAAGCTCCTGTGTGGCATAGATTTGTTTATAGAGCGGTCGATGGCATGATAGCTAAAAATCCGCAAAATTTATGGAAGTCATTTCTACTTTGCTGAACTTTTCTCTCTGGTCCTGAAAACTAAACCTGTGCACATATTTTGCCAGCACTGGCATCCTTCAGCTCAGTTTTCACAAGTGCTGGAAGTACTTGTGTGATAGACTTGCAATTATGAAGAAAATGCTTCTGCCCTAAAAAACAAAAAAAAGTTTGGAAAAGGTTTGACGATATAGTCATGGTTATTACTTTACACTGCTAGAGATAACAGGTTTATTTGGGTGACACTTTGCACTTTTCTATGCATTTCACACCTTTTAGAAGGCTCTTGGAGAGAGAGCACTTCTCCACTATTGGTTTCTTTGCTGAGATCATAGCCCGCAGAAGAAAAGTTGTCAAAATGCAACACAAGAGACACAGCAGCTGTAATACATGGAGCCTAATGGAAACAGAGCTTCGGCTGCAAGAGGAGAAAGCAGGCTTGTTTATGTGCTTGCTATGGCAATTTTCTACATTCATCTACCAAGAACAATTTGTATTTGGGGAATTTGGATTTGGAACAATTCCTATTCAGATGTTTTTTTATTGATAGGTTTTACTTTAATTTATTCAAGGTTATTACACCATGAGAATATCTCACTGGCCTTTACCTAGATCCAATTTTCCAAAATGTCAACAAATGCAAATAAACAAATAAAACAAAACATAAAGTCTTTGTCATTTATTAGCATTTTATTCCCCTCTATTTAGTTGTTATGCAGTGGCCTTGTTCAGTCAGCAATCCTTCCATAATTAATTTTGTCTAAGTTAAACTGTACATAATGACTGATTTAAAACTCATGAGGACAAAATATTGCATGCGCCCAGAGCCAGAATTAAAATGGGATTTGTTTAAGTATTTCTTCAATATTCATCCAAGTTTAGGAGTAATCCTGCATGTGTGAACACCCTTACAGGATATCTGCATATCAGCAAAGCCGTTTCTCCCTGAGAGCTGCCATCTCCCTGATGCTCCCTGATGTTATCTGTAGACTTGAAATCGGCTTTGCTACAGTTGCTGCAGAAGAGTTTCTTAACGGATTAAGGTGTAACAGACAAATCCTCCATTTAAAAAAGCTGTCAGTCTGCAAATTCTACATTTCTATGTTGCTCTTCTGTGGGTAGATGGAGCATAATTAGGCATTACTCCCTGCAGTACGTGTTTTATGTATGCATGATAATACTGCATGGAGCTGAGGGCCCATCAATCCATAACCCCCACCCAGAGGATCAACGCTTAAAGGGTGTGGACAGTCAGTTCGTCTTGTTGTCTATTTTGTTTGCAATCTATTGCCAAGCTTCTGGCTAACGCGGCATATAATCAATAGCTATATGCATCAAAGAGCTGTATGTACACTTCGCCAGATGATTGGCTCCGAACTTGAGCTAGCTCTATTGGCTGTCTTGACCCAACTCACATAAATTATTTACAAGGCAGCGAGGGGCATCAGTTTGAGAGGCTACCCGGTCAAACAGATAACATTTGTTTTGGTGGTGTTGTCAAGGTTAATGTGCCACAGGTCCAGACAAGGGTAATGCATTCATGGCCGACCACTCTGCCAAGTCAACGGGCAGGAAAAACAGTTACTTCAGAACGTCAAACGAAGCAGAATCAAATCAAAGCGTATAGGTCAGGTTGATCCACTGCAGGTAGCTCATATTTGATTAAATTTTGTTGTTATTGGTTCGACCTTAAGGTGATGTTTGTGATATTTTATTGAAGAGACAGAGGTCGCAGGGGAGGATTACAGTGTGCTCCATTCATCTCTATAACTGCGAGAGAGGTCAAGTGTCTATTATATTTAGAGGAAGGATTTGGAAACTGCATTAATGCTGTTTATTTGGTGAAAAAGAAACAATAGCTCCTACCATGTACCTGCCTGACTTTTTTTATTAAGTTGATTTTATCAAATTATTTTCCATAAAAAAACCCCCACAAATAATACATTATAAGTTCACACAAGAACAAACGATAGAGATGACCGAAAAAGGGCAAGAATTTAACATGTCCAACTCTAAATTTGCAGTATTTAACCTTTACATATATGAGTTGGCAAGTGGCCAAAATGAGTTAGAGAGCTCAGTCATCCAGGGAGGACTCAGAGTAGAACCGCTGCTCCTCCACGTCGAGAGGAGCCAGTTGAGGTGGCTTGTGCATCTGGTTAGGATGCCTCCTGGACATCTACCTGGTGAGGTGTTCCAGGCACGTCCCACCAGGAGGAAGCAAAGGGAAAGACCCAGGACACGCTGGAGGGGTTCCCCCAGAGTTTTATTGTCCTATATTTTGACTATTGTTTTGACAATACTTAGCTTGTACATAAATAAACTTCATTTTTCAAGTACATTTGCTGGTACCAGGTAGGATCCCTTTGCCTTCAGAATGCATTTAATTCTTTGTGAAATAAATTCAACAAGGTATTGTAAACATTAATCATATAGTTGCTGTAGAATTGTTGGGTTCATGTCCATAATTCAAATATCTCTTTCACCACATCCCAAACTTGCTCTTCTTGCCTTACTTCTAGTAATTGTTGAGGTGAGTGGAGAACAGTTGATTTATTCTCACTGTTAAAAACAGTTGAGGACCCCAGCTTTGTAATATGGCATGATTTCCCTATCCTGCTGAAAGTAGCTATCAGAAGATGACATTAGGGCCAAGTGTGGTCATAAAGGGATGGAAACGATCATTTTAATTAGTCAGAAGGGTTGTGGTGTTTAAAAAATGCTTGATTGGACTAAGGGACATAAAATGTGCCAAATTTTTTTAACTCTTCCCAACACCACCGCTAGTCTAGTTTTTCATGCTTTCAGGCTGTTTAGACTAAATTTGGACCCTAGCGTCTGAAAATTGCAGCTTAAAGTGAGAGTAATTGGACAAGGCAACATTCTTCAGTCGTCTAGATCTAATGAGCCTGAACCACATGTAGCCTCTTGTTCTTGTTTTTAGCCCACAAGGGTGGCACCTGGTGTTGTAATCCATCTACTCCAGGAGCACTGTACTGTAGTTCATCCCATTTCATGTCATAGTTTTACAATAAATATGCAGCCAAATTCCTTCCATTTT